GTAATTGTTGCTGCTCTTTCAAGAAATCCTATTGGGATGAGAGGAGAAGAGTTTACAAGTTTAGGGTTTACTTGGTCCATTCACTGTAAGATTTGAATTGGATGAATTGTTGAAAGGATAATGTGGATTACAGGAAGCAGAAGAGTAATGTTCACGCGTTGCTATTAGGTTTATATTAAACTTACAATTCTTTTATTAGAATAGGAGCCAAACTCAAGTCAACATAACCCTTTGACCTAACCCCAAAGGTTGTTGTAATAAGAATTGAGATGGAGGAATAAATTATAAGATTTGATTGTGAGAGGGAGTTTGTAAGATTTGATTGCGAGCCAGTCTTTATCATTAGTATAATTGTGACCCCACAAAGTTTTTAAATTGTCATTTGTCACAATTCACAATTCTACAAACTTTGTGGGTTATTAGTAGAATAGTAATGCTAGGTTTACAATCCAATATCTCTTCTATTGCTTTTCAACATAACCCTTTGACCTAACGTCACAGGTTGTTGTAATAAGAATTGAGATGGAGGAATAAATTAAAGTGAAATTCCCATTTCCCACTCACAACTTTGTAGTTCAACTCAAATTATGTGGAATTCCTCTAAGGATCTTCTTCTTCTCTTCCTATTGAGCCAATTAGAAAAATAGACTTGGATTGGAACCCTAAAATTAAAGAGATGAAGGAAACCTTTAAAGTGAAAAACACAATCATTGCTTTTTTGTCTCCTTTGATAATCAGTATTGATCATCAAAATTCCTGTAATTCTCAATTATTATTATTATTATTATTATTATTATTATTCAATTGCATTAGTAGAAGTTACACGGTAATCTTTTATTTGTACGTATTGAAACTATTATTGTACGTGTTGAAGAAACCTTCGTTTGAAGCTAAAAAGTTACAGGGTGATCTTTGACAAAGAAAAAAATTTAGAGAAGTATTAGCGGACTTGAAGGCTTTTATGAATTGGGATTTTGGACATAAAGTATTACCCTCATTATTCAATTGCGAGTGAGCATAAAAGCCTTCAACGTCCGCTAACATTAGTAGAAGAGGAAATGACAAGGATAACCTCTTCTATACGGCAATATTACACTTATAACCTAATTTCATAAACTTTATTTCATAACTCTAACTTGACAATTCACAATTGGATAGACATAACCTATTGCGAGCTGCCACGTCAGGTTGTGAGAGAAAGTTCATAAGATTTAATTGTAAGCCAATCTTTATCTTTAGTATAATTGTAACCCTACAAAGCTTGTAAATTGTCACAATTTTACAAACTTTGTGGGTTATTAGTAGAATAGTAATGCTAGGTTTACAACTCAATCTCACAACTTTTTTTTATAACCCCCGACATGACAACTTGCAATTGGTTAGGTAGGTAGGACCCATAGCAAGTAGACGGGACCCATTTGTGAGTTAACTAATTATAAGCTGTCATGTCAAAGGTTGTGCGATTGGATTGTGGACCTAATATTTTTCTTAGCAGAATTGGTTAACTCTTCCTAATTGTAGCTCTTAATTGGTCACCATATATTTGGTCAGGTAGGACTCATTGTTGGGCAAACGGAACCCATTGTGAGCTAACTAATTGCAAGCTGATATGTCGTATTTGTGAGAGAAAATTAATGAGAAGGGTTTGTCAGTGTAATATTGCTTGCTAGACAAAATATGCATCAAAGTGAAGCAAATTTGCATTTGTTTGATTAGTGGTCTTTAGATCAACTCCCTACTTCCAATTATAATGCTTAGCAGTTTATTAAGCTTCTACTTCTTTTATGCACAATGATTCAATTTCTGAGATTGGGCTTAAAGCCCAAAGGGAGAGTTCTTCCTAATTAATATCATGATTAGGTCAAAGCCCAAAGGGACAGGTCTTCCTAATTAATATCATAGTTGGGCAAAGCCCAAAGGGAGAGTTCCTCCTAATTAATATCCAGCTTTAGGTACTTTCTAGTTTCCATCAATTATATCTCCTCTGTATGTTACAGAATTACTAATTAATTTAATTCATTAACTCTGTAATTAACAAAATTTAACCTCCACTTAATCAGGTTAAATTTTGTACCTGATTCTTCGATTTTTCACAGGTTTACTCGTTGGTGCACTTGCTAACATTTCTGATGCCGAAACTAATATTAGGTAGTTTTTTTTTTTGTGATGTGATTCTGAAAGTCTAGGTGCTTATTTGATATCTTGTTTGACTTTGGCAGGGCATGGTTCAATTTCTACGACGAATTTGAGGCAATGTCATTGTAAGAGTCTTCTTCAATGGATTCTTGACCTAGCCAAGACTTTGTCACTTTCATCTGATCTGATGTCAATATGCCTGCCTCGTCAGTACAAATAACTGTGGCCAAGCCCATTGTCTCGCAAGCCGAAAGTTTCCATACAATTGCCTCATCACTCATCATTCTATTCATGGCATGAGCAAGTGTGAGAGAGACAACTAAAGATAAGCCTTTTAGGTTTGCTGCTAAACAAATGGCACAGTGGACTCAGCAAGAGATGCAATTGACTTCAATGCATCATCAAATCAGTTTTACTACCATTAAACTCCTTCCCACGCGGACATGCCTACTCTTCCAACGGAGGAGCCTCGTTTCTTTTAGTATGAAAATTGTTTTCTGAGTTCTTTGTATCAGGTACCAGAAAATATTTTGGATTTGTTTCATTTGGTATGTGATTCTTTTCCAAGTCTTTTTCCTATCAGTTTCAGGTACCTCAAATTTATATTCCGAGTCAATATGAAGATATGCATGCACAACTCCTAGATTAGAAATTAGGAATATGAATCTCCATCAAGATATGTAAGAAAAAGTGCCAATGGAAATAGTACCAAAAAAATTTTCGTAGCAGAGTGCTAAATACAAATGCTGATTATAATTAACCACTGGGAGAATGATATCCGTTGTACGTGCATGCAATACCTAATGGCTATACTAAAGCTTAAAATAAGTTGATAACTTTTTCTTATACCTTACCTTCTACTTATCAATTTGTACACATATATCCATACACAAAATGCTAAGCACTTAGAAATCAGCTCATTTAATGGCTGAGATTAAAGTTTAAATAAATAAATTACTTGATAATTAACTTCGTTTTACTTTTTCTTGATTTATACATGTACATACACAAGTAGTATAATTAAGACTTTAGAAATCAACTCTCTCTCTCCCAGTCTCCCACTTTCTCTACTTAATTTCTGCATACCTTGCAATTCGATTAGCAATGTCAATTTTCAAAATTTTCTCAAAGAAACTCACCAAGACAGATGTTGAAAATAGATTGTCAGTGACAACCAAAAGCCTCAGTTCCTTCCCTCCATTCGGAGAACACCAGAATTATCTGGATATCTTGGCGGACGATGATGAAGGCCACAAGTGGCCCTTTCGCTTGGTCGTCCGCAGGGGCCGGTATGGAAAGCCTGTTCTTTCAGTGGGTTGGCTTCATTTTGTTGGGACTAAGCAACTCCGAAGTGGTTTCTAGGTGAAACTTTATGGGGAAGAAGATGAAGTTACAATCAAGGTCAAATACAAGGTTAAACTGAAGAAGCCCTATATTGTATTCAAAGCTAAGCTTGGTTATGTATCTCTGTACCCTGCTGCTTAAAGGCAACGTATCTTTCCTTCTTTTTAACCACGAATGCATGCAGCGTTTCCCATGCAATTGTCAAATGTACTCTAGTTTTCTTAGGGTTATGTTTGAGTGTGTACTCTTTTTTTATGGCTATTTGCTTTCAAGTTTCAGGTTTGGTGACTTTGGTGAATGTAGCTGATGGTGCGTCTCTTTTTGTTGTTTAATATTTACTATGATATAGTGAAATATGGTTCCAATATTTTCATTTATTTGATTCTCCACTTTAATTCAATTTAACTACATGATATAAATCTATCGTTGTAACCCTTGTATATCGGCTATGTCTTGTATGCTTGTAATAGGGAGGGATTTTGAGTATCCAATGTAAATTGGTGTCAAAGGTTAATAAAAGACATGTATTTTGCTTAGTAGCTTAGAGGAATGGTTGTTCTTGAAGGTGGAATGAGTGTTCCAGATTTACCCTAAAAATCTCTGATTTTCCATAATAGGGAACGGGCACAAGAAATCGAGTCATTCTTGTCATGAACAACTTGAGGATGAACAGCTTGCGTGAAAGGGTCGTTCCATACTTCCATGTCTTAAGAGTTTTCCCTAGTTTGGGCAGAAGCATGAACGACTTAGTGGAATGGTGCCGTTTATGCCTGGAGTAGGCTGATGAGCGTGCTCCACCCAACCTCGCCAATCGCTGGCTGATTCTGGAAAATTTAAAGATTCGTATATTTAAAATTTCATGATTTTCGTAGGCAATTTTATAACCAAATTTGTACATACTTATACGAAAATCAGTAGACATACATGCCTATTAAAAATAGTGTTGCATGATGATGGTCTCCAATGGCTAGACAAAATATGCTTCAAAGTGAAGCAAAAATTTGCATTTGTGTTGTGTAATTTGTTTGATTAGTGGTCTTTAGATCAAGTCCCTACTTCTAATTATAATGCTTAGTAGTTTATCTAGCTTTCTAAACAAGTTTGTACTTATTTATGCACAATGGATTCAATTTCCTAGATTGGGCCAAAGCCCAAAGAGAGAGTTTGTCCTAATTAATATCATTATTGGGCCAAAGCCCAAATGGACAGCTCCTCCTAATTAATATCGAGCTTTGGATGCTTTCCAGTTTCCATCTATAAGTCCTCAGCATGTTACCGAATTACTAATTAATTCATTAAATCTGTAATTAACGATCATCACTCCCCTAATTAAGTTTGTTTTTTTGGGGATTTATTGTAATTTGTAAAGGTTATCATTTGGCTAGATTTAGAAACTGAAGAGGAGCAAAGTGTAATTTTAAAAACTAATATAGAGATTACAATAAATAATGGACAGTTTAGGGATACATTAGATTTACTAAATGGCGCAAGATTCAAACGCGAAACAGAGAGAATCAGAACAAGTTAAAGAAGAAGAATTTGACGATAGAAATCGAAGACAAAAGAAAAGAGAGCAAGTTTCAGAATTAACAAATCAATCCTCGTCGATTAGGTCACGCAGGTAATGGAATTGCATTCCACGAGTATGGAGGCATTGCATATATCTCCGGCCGACGATCCGCGAGGAAGTCCAGGTAAGGCAGCCGGAGTCGGCATACTCCTTCAGATAATGATGCTTGTTCTCTCTTTCGTCCTCGGCTACGTTCTCCGTCGTCATCGCTTCTATTATCTCCCTGAAGCCAGCGGTTCTCTTCTCATAGGTTTTTAATTTATTTCAATTTTATTCCATTTTGAACCTCCACTTTGTTAGCTTAAATTTTGTACCTGATTGTTCGATTTTTCACAGGTTTACTCGTTGGTGCACTTGCAAACATATCTGATACCGAAACTAATATTAGGTAATTTTATTTTTTTAGTTTTTGTGATGTGATTATGAAAGCCTAGGTGCTTATTTCATATCTTGTTTGACTTTGGCAGGACATGGTTCAATTTTCACGAGGAATTCTTCTTCCTGTTTTTGTTGCCTCCGATCATATTATATCCTAACGAAACTTGGATTTTTGTGACTCATTTCTTGACATTTACTTTTTCATTTAATAATTGCATATGGAAATTTTTTATTTTATTTTTATGTATGCATATACATTAAGTACTACTTTTATACTGAATTGATTCTTCAAGTTTTGTTTTTCTTGACCCTTTTTGTGCACTCAGTCAGGCTTCAGCTTGGCACCTGTAAGTATTTGTCATCGTTTCTGAATATAATCTATGAGTTAAATGCATGCATTGCGTTTTTGCCTTGAGTGGATTGCCTCATTGTTTATTTTATTTTGTTTTGGCAGAAACCATTCTTTTCTAACTTTGGAGCCATTGTAAGACTTGCTATACTGGGAACTTTTATATCTTCAATGGTTACGGGCATCCTAGTGTAAGTGTTTCTCTATTTAGATAATTACTATATCATTACATTGACTCAGTGTAGATGGATTTTGAGCATCTGGATAAGTTATGAGCTCAATATGAACTTCATAGGCCCATTATGAAAATGTATTGGCTTTTAACTATGAACCAATTAAGCTACAAGTCATAGGTAGGGCAAGATCGGTTTGCATGCAAATACCAGAAACACGACGGCCTATATTAGAAATAGAAAGCACCAAACATACAAACTAATTCCCAAAACCAACGAAACTAATCAAAACAGAGTATAAGAGAAGGATCATTAGAAACTACAATGTTTGATATCCCCTTTTCTTTCAAGTATTGAATAACAGCTATCAATCCTCATTTAGAAACAATGATAGAGAAATCTTGAAACTGTTACAACTTCTTTCATTTCATTAGACTGAATAATGTTTTACAAACTACTTTATAGTGAACTAAAAGCGCTGAGTTGGTAATCCTTGTGAACCTTCATCTCATCCGTTCAACTAAACAACAACAAACACAATTACATTTACTTTGAACCGTTGGATTGATTCTAAACTTATTTGAGCTGCTACGTTGAAGAAGAACGAGCTCTATTTTCTTCACCTTTCAAATTTCAATCTCTTAATAAGCCTTTGTTTGACTTAATATCTTGTTCTCAAAACAACAAAGCTACGGACACTGAAAAATTTGCACCGAAAATATATACTGGCCTACGTGTACCAGGCGCCTGATTTTTCTATCAATTTTTTTCTTGTGAACGGCCATCCATCAAATATGGACGGCCGTTTACTCACATGGACTCTCATCCATATTATATGGTAGGGATTCATATACCAGGGATGACCGTCCCTAAAGGACGTTACTGAATTATCATCCTCAAGCAAGGCAAGGAAAATCCTGCTGTAGCTTGAGACTAGACATATTTTCTGAAAGAAACTTTCTGAAGTGTTTTCTTTGTGTTTTGTTGCCTGCCAACTCAGTATAAAGTGTTTTTGGCAAACGTAACCCCTGTCATGGGATACTGAATTATCATCCTAAAATTATCTCAAATTAAGCATATATATATATATATATAATTCACAAAGAAAAACCAACCCTACTGACAAGCATCGAAGTTGTTTTTAACTTCAATTTTGTTTATATTTAAATAAAAAAATAAAGACTTTAAAGAATGTTGATGTAATAATAAAACTTACTGTAAAGATTCCCATACGTAACATAACATCTTTATATTATCTAAATAATGATATTATGAGATTTGGAGCATCAATTTATACAAAATCTCTATAATGGAGGTGTTGTGAATGGTGAGGGTTTAATTTCTAGTTTCTATTGGGCCCTATTGGGTCAATATTTCGTGTTTTAACAAATGTGACATAGAAAAAGCTCCCACAAAGATGAATGAGAAAGAACAAAGATTTAATGGAACAAGATTATAAAGTGTTTGTTATTGTGATATGCTTTTCTGATAATTGACATTTAAAATATGCAAGCCACGGCACGATGAGAAAGAAAAGTAGTTAAAGCAAACCCAAATAATGGTTTAATTGCGCAAGAAAAGCACCTTCATATTCACCTTCAAATAATGGTAGGCCTTATCCTTCACAATAGCTAGCGCCTGATTAGGTAATTCAGGCAAAAATTTGGATTTATGTCCAATAAATCCAAAAAAAAATAAGACACATCACAGAAGATAAAGCATAAGTATAATATCACCCTATAGTAAAATCTAAAAATTGAAGTTTCACGTACCTGAAGCTTACTAGCACATAAATTCAAGTACTTAATAAAAAATAAGAAAGCACAGCACCTGAAATATAGACAACACAGTGACAGGATGTGTTGCTGATATAAGAGCACCAAACATAAGACATTCAACAAGTGGAAGCCTGTACATGAGGTACATAACGCCACCAAGGTAACTGTAACAGAAAGCGGCAAAGAAAAGATAATGAATCAATTAGTCATACACAAAGAAAAGCACCTTCATATTCACACGGATGCCTGTGTTTTAGGTTCTGTTTTAAAACCTGGATCAGACTGGCCGGTTCGATCGCGAGCTGGCCTTTACTTCGGTCCGAGTTAACACAAAATCGAAAATATTAATTAACCTGTTTTGGACCGATAATGGACCGATGGAACAGAATAAAACCGTCGATCCGACCGGCCCGGAGTTTAAACTAATCCAAGAAAATTCATATTCCTAAACCAATTTCAGCGCCATTTCATTATCTTCCATTTTCATCTTCAATGCTTCTTCACAACACTTACACTAAAATCTACTAGTAAAGAAGAAGTAAGGGGAGGGAAGAAGAAAGAGAAGAGAAGACACGAGAAAGAGTAAGAAGAAGATTAGAAGAAAGAAAAGAGGAGATGAAGAGAAAGAGAAGAAGAGAGAAAAATTACAGTACACGAAAAAGAAAAGAGGAAGAAGAAAAAGTGGAAGAAGAAAGTGAGGGGCAGTGATGGGGAGAGAGAGAAAACAAAGGAGAGAAAGAATTGATGGGGAGCGATGGAAAAAAAAGTGAAAGATGGAAGTGATAGGGAGAGGGAAAAAATAATTAATAATAAAATTGAGAGTGCATTTGCTTTATTTCAAACTTAGGGGGATTTATGTAACTTTTAGAGATGTGTTTGCTGGTTTTTTAACTTATAACTATTAATAGAATTGTTTAAAGATGATATTGTTATATACCGGTTAGATAGATCGATTTAATCGGTTGGACCGATTAACCCGCGAATCGACCTTTTAACTAGGTCAATGAACAGTCTAGCTTTTAAAACAGTGGTTTTAGGTCAAAGGTCAAAGTAGTTAAAGCAAACCCAAGTAATGGCTGAAAGAAAGAGAAACAGAACAAATGGCTGTTGAATCTTGAAAATTACATTTGTACAAATGGATGAAAATCATAGGATTTATTAACCATAGAATTAGAAATAGTAGCTAGGTAATAAATATAGCAATTCTGAAATGTGAATCGTGCAATTTCAAGAAATTTTGTATTCTGAATTATATGTGAATATGAAGGTGCTTTTCTTCCTTTTTCAAGGGGCTGCTAATTTTATTTTCATGTCACTTTAATGGCATAATGTACGTAGTGGCACCAATTAGTTGTGACGAGGAGGATAGAATTTGGAGAATGGTACTCCTAATTAATGGAAATTGTTCTTGCAAGAGGGCTGTAATTGAGCGTTATCTGTATTCTTTCTCATTCATCTTTGTGGGAGCTTATTCTATTTGACACGAAATACTGACCCAGTTGGGCCCAGTAGAATCACCTCCATATGTATCATCGACTCCATCAGTCTCCTGTTTTTTGTAAAGTAATCAACTCCTTTTGTTGCACTTTACTTTTAGCAACCGTACGGGGATGATGAAGCCGACATTACTGTGAGTTTAAAACAACCCTCCCCGTTTTCCACCCAATCACCAAATATTCCTGTGAGGTTAAAACGAAATATTCTAACAAAAGTCGTGTTTAGGGTAATTAAAATATTTTAACACTTTAATGTGCCAAGGAAATATTGACCCAGTGGGGCTTAATACAAATTAAACCCCCACAATTAAATTAATGATGAACCTAAATAAAGGAGTCACCTGGTTTATCCAGTGTGAAATTGATGATTTGAGCATAGAAAGAAAGACATTAGGATCCATGGGTTCCTTCATTTTGATAACAACACCTCCATAATTATCATGGACTGCATCAAGTAATTTAATCTCTTGATGTTGGACTTTACTATCGCCAGCAGTACCGGATGATGACGCCGACATAACTTTGTTTTTGTCGATTTATAAATTTTTTTTGTTTGGGTGTTTTTGTTAATTAACAAACTTATGGGGTTTAACAACTCTTTAATTTAGGATATGATGTTGAAAATAGGAAACAAAGGTGCATTTGTCTTTAGAATATGAACATGATCGTGGTGAAATAATGAAACAAACGCAGCTGTACATCATTTTGTCATTTGTGGTTTGAATCAAATGGGTCCCAAATGGCCCGAAATGGGTTCGTGATAGAGAGAAAAAACTTTTGATATCAAAGTTCCAATTTCCAAACACCAAACCCACTTGCTTTTGCTGATAACTGATGATGATCGTTTATGATTTTAGACATTTGATTCATTTTCCACATTTTGAACTTGGGGTGCTGGGGCCATGTATAAATTTTAAAAAGGTTCGAGGGCTTTACTGTTCTTAAAACATCATTACAGCCTCCTTCTGTAATGTTTTAATCTACAAAGGAATCATCAAAAAGACAAATTTAACACAAAAATTATCTACAATTTTACGTTTCAAGGAACAATAACCTACCATAGAAAGGTTTCTATGTTAAAACACATTCATACTCCAATATTCATTTACAATACAATCAATTTCAGTGTAAAATCTTCATGGAATATATACGGAAGTAAATGACAAACCTCCAGCCATAGCAATTGTTCTTTGATCTTTTTGCTCCTTTATAAATTACAGGATCTTCCACTTACTGCAATTTTGGGTGATGGTTTTTGGGAATCAATATAAAATTGCGTCTAATGGGGACCTGTAAAGTCTCCTTTATATGCAGTTGTCTTTTTCCTCAAAGACAACTGCTCAAAGAAAGACCCGACTTTTACACTTTTACATAAATCCACATCAGCATAAAAGTTGTAGGACCTTAATGAAAATATTAAAAGTGTAGGACCATAATTAAAATGCTAAACATCTCCCACTTGGTCCAAACTCTAATATATCCAAACACAAGAGATGTTATGCGGTATGTTCAATTAGAAAGAGGAAAAGTACATGAATCATAGCGGTAAGTCCCTTTGAAACAAGTATTACCTTCCATGTATTACAATGCAATTTTTCTCTTTCTAAATAACGCTTAAATGTGGAATATCACTTTATGAACAAAGCTCAAATGTTTGTTCCAGTCCTCTAAGGTTTGTTTTTCTCCAACCAAAATGTATACACTTAAAAGAGAAAACAAACTAAATTACAAAGTTTCAGACAATGAAAGTATTACCTCTCATAGTACAAAGCGGACATAGTCCCATTTGAACAACATGATCCTTGAACGTCTTTGGTGCATGCCTTTCGTTAGAGGATCAACAATC